GTAAACTCAGCAAAATATTCTAAAAGAGTCCAGTAGCCCATATTAGCATTGGGTCTTCTGTTTAACTGGCAATCTAGCTTCTTGACATACTTCCTAATGTGTCCCCTGACCACCTAGCCCCCCGACAGAAATATAGGCCACCAGTGTCTGGCCTGTGTTGCCTCCAGTGTCTCATCCTGTGCACAGATGAACTGTGGTTTGGGTAGGCTGGGAGCCTGATGGGTGTTCTAGCCAGAACTTAACCCAGAGGCTGAGTGTGGCCCAGAGGCTGTGGGTTAAGTTCTGGCTAGAACACCCATCTCTCACCGCACTTCTCCATCTGACAGGCACTGAGGCTTTCAGGAACTTTCGCAGGGTCCAAAAATTACTGTGTGGCCAAACCCAGTGTCTGAATATGTCTTTCTGATTCTAGTCTGCACCAGCTGTTTTCTGGCTTCTTAGGAAATAACCTACAGTAGCCTTTGGGTGGGGTCCTATTTAATATTTACCCTTACTAGGCCCCCACAGAGGCTGTATGAGCCAGGTTATATCTGTTCACTCCTACATATTGCTAGGCAAGACCTTACATGCCATGTACAAGTGGTTCTCCTAAAGGCAAATTTACTCAGAAAACTAAATCATAATCAGAAACTTGAATGGGGAATGTAGAGCTAGACCAAGGGGATAGTTTAAATAAGTGATTTGAGTGAGTTTTTGCTATGGAAGCAGTAAACCGTCCAGGTAGATGAGTCAGCTCCACCTTACACTGCCTGGTCAAGGGATGCTTCCCTCACTGCTCCTGTTTTCATTCGCAACGTAATTTGCTCAGTTATTCTGCCTGCTGGCCAGCCACCCTTGCTTAAGACAACAATCCCTTTACCCTCCTATAAAGGTGCCTTGGGTTCCTTGTCTTTGGACATGTAAGAATTGGAGGCAAAAGAAATTGTGGATTTGGTGACATCTGGGCCAGCTTGTTGCCTGCAGGCTCCAAATCAACCATCTCACATAAAAAAAAAAAAAAAGACAACTATCCTTAACATATAGCACTGCAACTATTCACTAGAACAATAACTACCAGCCCCATGTGCCTGTTCAAATTTAAATTTTTTTTTTTTTTTTTTTTTTTTTTTTTTGCGGAACCGGGGATTGAACTCAGGACCTTGCACTTGCCAGGCAAGCACTTATTCTACTGAGCTATCTCCCCGGCCCCTCAAATTTAAATTTAACACATGAAAAATGTAGCTTCTCTGTCACATATGATGATTCAAGAATTCAGTAGCCACAAGTGGCTAGTGGTGGCTGCATTAGGCAGCAGGGGTATAGAACATTTTTCCCTCATTACAGAAAGTTATGGTTAGAGCTGGTGTAGATTTTTCCTAGTTACAGCCTTATTCTAATTGGCCCTTCACTGTGGTCTTGCCAAGCCACCAATTACAAGTCCATAATTCCCAGAGGATGGCGCTTTCCCATCTGGGTCCTACTGGGACAGGTCCTGCTACAGAAAGACACTGCTCCCCTTTAATATCCATTGCTTTTCTTTAGCCCTGAAGATGATCTTTTTGGGATCTTGAGGCTATGTGGTTACTTTTCACAGGAGACAGAGCCTGCCTAGGATCCAGGCTTTTCCTGATGGTCCACTTTATCCTTTAAAGTTTGCCAAACCTTACTCTTTCTTTTAGTACCCCTCTTTCACAATTTTTCCATGTCTTTGTACAGGCAGAAGTGTTCATAAGGACTAAATGAACCCACCCATATTCCATTGTAGTTTTTTTTGTTTTTTGTTTTTTTTTTAATTTTAGGGAAGGGTCTACAGGGTGTTCAGGGTCTCACTACTAGATCCGACTTATAGTGATCCGCCTGTTTACAGCCTCCCAAGAGCTGAGATTACAGGCACACACCACAACGCCCAATCTCAATTGCTGTCTCATCGTGCCCTTGGGATGGGGTCAGCACAGCAAGCCTGGGGATCAAACCCCAGGCCCCTGCGCCCGTAGTCTTGTTATACCTCCACCTTACAATATATAAGAAATCCTGATCTAATGTTTGATTTATAGATCTAATGTTCGATTTATATTTGCCCAAACCACTGTAAGCTAAAACACAGCTACCAAAAGTTTAAAATGTTTGCCAGTGTACTTCCCCAAAGCAAGGATACCTTCTTCAGGGGCACCTTCACCACATCCCAGAACATACTGCTTTCAGGAAAATATGGAGTAAAGGTGCCTCGGCTCCCCGAGCACACATTTCTCCTCACATCCTGGCCCGTCTTCCTCGGCAGGAGGCATGTGTCCATTCCGCCACATCAGCGGTGAGAAGACGGTTGTATGCAAACACTGGCTTCGGGGGCTGTGCAAGAAGGGGGACCAGTGTGAGTTCTTGCACGAGTATGACATGACCAAGATGCCTGAGTGCTACTTCTACTCCAAGTTTGGTAAGGTACACAGAATCTTGGGAGGCTCTGCCAGGTTCTCAAACCCAAACCCAGTTTGTCTGCCAAGGCCCCACTGCATCTCTGTCTGCCTTCTCCCATCTTTTCAGCTTCTGATGAGAAAATTAGGCAGTCCTTACCAGCCTGAAGTGGCTTGTCAGTGAAGGGCTGTCATGATGATTCTGATAGTCCTTCAAGTCTTTGGAATGCTGTAGGGTTTGGAGCACTTGGGGACAGTGAAAATAAGAGGAATCCTGGTGAACAAGCAGACAGTGCAGTAGGTGGAGACCTGGTTACTGCCACAGCAGCTCCATCCCTGAAATCTACATCTCTTTCCAGCATGGATACTGATCACCCCACGTTGGCTTAAATTGGTTCCTTCTCTAGATAGTTTATTAATAGTGTTAATAATTTGGCCATTCTAACAGCCCTCAGAGTAGCAGGTAAAGAAGGGCTGTCTTCTGGTGGCAGTGAGCCCTGTTCTTTATCTCAAAAGATTGCTTTGAGCTGTGCTTAGAGAATGTGTAGCCTGCGTGGAGAAGCAGGGCACAGGGTAAAGGCAGTAGTGTGGGCACAGAGCTTTGTGGTCAGGGTCTCTGTTCTGGTCTGTTCTTGGAGGTGTCCCTAGGAAGTTCTTGGTCAGTTCAAGTGCTGACTCTGGCCCCAGAGCTGCCAGCCCCAGATTGTCCAGGGGCCACACAGGAGTTCAGAAATCTGTTGGAAGTTTTGTGGTGAGCTCAGGCATGCTGAGCATGCATCATGCTCTCAAAACACTGTTGATGGAGGAAATGCTAATTATTTCAGCGTCCCAACACGCTTGTTTGCTGGGTTCTTAATGATAGCTGTGGCTTGTTTTCCTGAGGCATCATAAGCTGAGAAGTCAAAGCAGAAGGCAGGACTCAGGATTTCCTCTTTTTTTTTTTTTTTTTTTTTGGTGGAACCGGGGATTGAACTCAGACCCTTGTGCTTGCAAGCGAAGTGCTTATTCCACTGTGCCATCTCCCCAGCCCCAGGATTTCCTCTTGAGGTCATCCTGTCTGCCACATCTATAGCTGCCTCTCTTTTACCCATAGCAACATTGGACTGAAGCAGGGTCTCCATTTAGAACCAGAGCTATCCCTTAGGGTGCTCTCTTTCCTGCTGACAGCCCTGGGCCCAGCAACTTCATGTCTCTGATGTCCCCATCTGCCTGTTCCCTGAAGAGGCTGTCTTCATGCAGATGTACTACCTGCAGCACTTACCACATGCCACAGCTGTGTGTTGAGTGTCCCTTTCTAGAGGAAAGAGGATAGACTTCTTCTTGCTGTAGTGACCTAGGGACAGGGGCAGCTGATAAGCCAGTGACTTAAGAAAATTGCCATGAAGGAAATAAACAGTGATGAGACCCATGCTAGATTCTTCTCAGGCAGAGTGACCTAGGAGAGCCTCTTGAGGGGCTCCAGGTTGGGGCCCAAGAAAGGTGTGGTCCTGACTGACGTTCTTCTCAGTAATGGGGCCAGTATGGCTGCAATAGGTGGTGCTGAGCCTGTAAGAGGGGTATAGGCAGGAAGACATGGGCTGGAGTGTTTTTTCTGGATAGTGAACAGAGTATGTAAACAGGCTGCAGAAGGTCAGCCCGCAGGTGGCAAATAGTCGCACTGGAGTATGTGTCCTAAAGCTGCTGACCACCTGGGCTGCTTGCTTCTGAACCATCCCCGTCCACCTGTGTTGTCATCACCAAGTCTTACCCCATAGTACCTCTTGGACCCTGCCTTTAGCTCCCAGTACTTATCCTAAAAGTCAGAGGTCTCAAACCTTCTCCTGTCCCAGCTCAGAGTCAATGAGAGGAGAAAAGTCACATCCTAGTCTCAAGGGCATATTTACTTAGCTGGGCCCCCAAGCCCATGATACCCCCTCTGGCTGGGTAAAGGTAAAACAATAGATTTTGATGAGTTTGCCTTGCCCCAGGCTTTGCTGGTATTACTGCACCTTCCAGAAGTACTGGTGTATGCCCTTGAAACTGCATAGCCCAACCAACATCCTGCCGTGGGCTCAGGGCTTGCAAGGCCAAGTCTGGATACCAGGATTCCTGGCCCCTTTTTGGTTTGGCAAAGCTCTATTTCAGGAGGCCACATGTCTGGGTTTCCTGCAGGGGAATGCAGCAACAAGGAGTGCCCCTTCCTGCACATTGACCCAGAGTCCAAGATCAAGGATTGCCCTTGGTATGACCGCGGCTTCTGCAAGCATGGTAGGTACAGGATGGGTTAGGCTTCTGGGGAGGGGCCAGTCTCCCTCTGTCCACATGACCCTCAAGACTGCCAGCTGGTCCTCCTGGGACATCACTCTTCCTGTCCCAGCAAAACCTGAGCTTTTTTGTATCCCTCCCAAGCAGGCCTTGTGGGGATGTGCTCATCTCCTTTTTCTTTTCTCCTGGTATCAGGGATTGAATTTAGGGCTCACACATGCCAGTCAAATGTTTACCACCAAGGTATATCCCTAGCCTTTTTTGAACAGAACCTCACTCAGGTGCCCAGGCTAGCCTCAAACTATCTTAATCCACCTTCCTCGGCCTCCCCAGTAGCTGGGATTACAGGTGTGCCAACCAGCTTGGCTCACTGCATTGTGGGTAAGGAGACCAATGTGGACAGGCTGAATCCCTGCCTCTAGTTCCCTCTCAGTTTGAGGCAAAACCAGCCTGGGAAGCCATCCTCTGGCTGCCAACACCCTGAGCAATGTAGGTGTAGCTCTGGCTGATAGTGGGGACACTAAAGCATTCCCCTGCAGGGAGGACATCTGAGTGACCCAAACATTGGGCTCTGCAGGTCCTTTGTGTAGGCACCGGCACACGCGGAGAGTCATCTGTGTGAATTACCTCGTGGGATTCTGCCCAGAGGGCCCCTCGTGTAAATTCATGCAGTGAGTACCTGCCTACAACTCTTGACCCCAGCCCTGCTGCTGCTGCTGTGTCCTTCCTGGGAGCAGAGCTTTGGTCACTGGGTGGCATCAGTACCCCCTAGGTAGGAGTGGGAGGTGGGGGAGGAACGCTGCTGATGGCTGCTGCTGCTTACTAAGTCCAAACACGGATGTTTAGACCAGCATTTAATCTTTATGGGTCATGGGCCATCTGGGAATCTAAAAGCTTGTTCCAGAAACTTATAGCACACCTGTGCCATCTGTTCTCAGAGCAGCACCTGTCCAGGGTCTCCCAGAAGCATCATGGAATGCCAACCCCATCTTGGGTACATGGTTTTGGGTCACTTCTGCTTGTACAGGGGCTGGTTGTGGTTCTCCAGGTACCACCTGGCCTATCTTCTCATGCCCTCTTCTTCCCTTGCTCACTTCCTCTCTGGCTGTTGGTGACCAGCCCCCGATTTGAACTGCCCATGGGAACCACTGAACAGCCCCCACTGCCGCAGCAGACGCAGCCTCCGACAAAGGTACCGTGCCCTGGCCCCTCCTTGGCCACACAGCCCTAAAGGGAGTGCCTCAGTATGTGGTCTGCTACAGACCCATTGAAGAATCTTGTGAGAGAGGCCGGTTAGGAAGGAGGTAGGAGGGACAGGAAGTGCCCTCAAGTTCCAGCAGAAAACTAAAGTAGCAGAGGAGCATGCACATCCCACTAGAGATGGAGGCATCTGCCAAACCTAGATTCCCACTTGGCCTCTTCCCTTTTTACCTCAAGCACAGCAAGACCTAAAGCAGGATGACAGGCAGGATTCAGGGGGTACGTGTAACTGAGTGAACATTGAGAGGTGTCACTGCCTCAGGAGCACAGTTGGATGGCCTGGGCTCATGTCTGCTGCTTTTGCTTCTGGGTCAGATCCTGCCCCTTACAAACACAAAGACTGGGACTCCTAGAAGGCAGAACTTCCTGAGGGGACACTACCAAGCAGTGGCAGATAAAGGAACACAACTGAGGCCAAATGTCCTCAGCCTAGTACCTACTCCTATGGCAAAAGCAGGACTGAAGGGCTAGCTGGCTGGTTTCCTAGATGGTGCTATATTACAGTTGGTCCATCTCCTCAAGCACTAGAAGAGGGAGATACCATTGACAACTGGGGATCTTCTGCCATCCCCAAAACCTGGGCCTGAGCACAGAAGTGGAGATGGGCAGAGGTAAGCTCACCTGGGGTTAGGTAGGGCCTCGACAGGTCTGCTGACCTTGAAGCCTCACCTCTTGCCTGGCTGGGCTAAGTCAGTTGCCAAAGCCCCCCAGCCCTCTTCATTGCAGTAGGCCGAGAGGGTACATGGCTGTGCTTACTCTCCATGGACCCCACCCACAGGAGGTGGAGGTGCGAAGCAAGCCACATTCTTTCTCAGGAAAGCCAACCTTCCCAGGCATGGGTACAGCTGACAGCCCGGGGGTTCATTTCTAGCCCAGTCCTATATCAGGCAAAAGCCAATCATTCAGCTGGTTGAGAAGTGGCCTTGCTGTGGAATCCCCGCCCCAGAAGGCGCAGCCCCCTTTCTTCTGTGACTCCCTGGAGGAGGGTCCTCAGCCCCTAGACGGCAGGTCAGCTGGCCAGGCTCCAACTGTTTTTCTGTGACTGTTGCTCGCCGCGTAGGCTGCTTAACATCTGGCTGAACCAAGCGTTCATCCTGACCTGAAGCTAGAACCTCAGAACCAAAAGTAAGGCCTGATCATGCCCTCGCCCCACTGCCCCAGAGACCTCCTCTTGTCTCTTTGGTGTTTTTGTTTTCTACTTTTATTTTTCGTTTTTTGTGTGTTTGCATGGTGTTTTTCGGGCAGTGGCTCCAGCCATCACCAAGTTTCTTTTCTGCCCACTCTCCAGAGCTGGGCCATTGCAGAAGTCCTCTTCCTGCAGGTCGTGCGGGAACAATCCCGCCCTCTTTTTTTTCCTGTCCCCATTGGTAGTCTGCGTGCACGTGTTTTCCGCAGTAAAACCGTGTTGTGTAACTCTTTCCAGCAAAGTAACAATCCGCCATTACAAAGGTCGTCCTCCTTGATCCAGTTAACGAGTCAGAACTCTTCTCCCAATCAGCAGAGAGCCCCACAGGTCATCGGGGTTATGCAGAGTCAAAACAGCAGTGCAGGCAACCGAGGACCCCGGCCGCTGGAGCAGGTCACTTGTTACAAGGTAAGGCCGGGGCCTGGGGTCTGGGGCCAGGGTGGGGGTCTTCTCCTTAATCAGTGGCCATTCCCTCACTCCCTGTATGTGGTTAATTTTGAAAAATGAGGCCAATGTGGTAGTGCACATCTGTTAATCCCAGCACTCTGGGAGGCTGAGGCAGGAGAGTCACAGGTTAAAGGGCTGGCTGTATAGCTCAGTGTAAAGGCATTAGTTTAATTCCCAGAACAAGAAAGAAAAGGAAAAATTAAAACATTTTGTAAATGATTGTAAGAGAATCTTTGATTGTAAGAGAAATAGTGGGCCACTACAGTGTGCTAGAGACATCATCATACTTCCTGCACTACACCAAGGCAAAGTGACAGATAAGAAAAACAGGTTACTGAATGAGTCAATTGTGCTTGCAAGAAAAATAAAATCTGGGTGGGGTGATGCATATTTGCAGTTTCAGCTACTTGAGAGGCTGAGGCAGGGAAATCTTTAAATTCAGACCCACCCTGGGCAAATTGCAAGACCTTGTCTCAAAAAAAAAGGGGGGGGGGCTAGGCATGGTGGCACACACCTGTAGTCCTAGCCCTTGGGAGTCTGAGACAGGACTGCCGTGAATTTGAGGCCATCCTGGGCTATGTAGCGAGTTTAGGACCAGCCTGGACTACACAGCAAAACCCTGTCTCAAAAAATTAATTAATTAATTAAAAAATATATATACATATATATCTAGAGGTACACAAAGGCTGTGGGTTCAGTTCCCAGTACCACCAAAACAAAACACAGAATGTGAGGGAATTCAAAAAGCTGGGAACCAAATAGAAATTGGAAAGAGTGGTCCTGGAAGCCTCTGGCTGCCCTGGAGGCATTCTCATTTCCTCCAGGGGTATCTCAAAGCTTTGAGCCAACACTTGGAGGAATTCCATTAGGAACACACACACACACACACACACACACACACACACACACGCAACCTACAAATAAAAAGATACTCAAGGAAAGGTTAACTTTCTAGAAAAGCTGTCTTTCTCATTCCTGTCTAGAAAAATCCCTGCAAATTCTCACTGGCTGGCCCTTAGCTAAATCTGAGCCTGTGTTCACATTTTTGGTGAGAGCTGAAAAGTTATAAACCAGATTTTCTACTCAGTGATTCTCATGGGATGAGGATGCTTCTGGTACCTGGCAGGAACAAGCTAACCTGCTGTGTTCAGAATTCCTACAGCTAGAATTCCAAAGAACGACTTCATGATTAAAATTTCAAAAAAGCTGGGTGTGGTGGTACACATTTATAATCCCAGCACTTGGGAGGCTGAGTCAGGATCACCCCAAGAGTTGAGACCAGCCTAGGCTACACAGTAAGTTTAAGGACAGCCTGAACTATGTAGCAAGAACCTGTCCCAAAGAAAAAAAACCAAGTACAAATAAACCCAAAACATAAACCAAGTACAGTGGTATACACTTATAATCCCAGCTTTCAAGGAAACCAATGCTTCAGCCCATCTAGGACAACTTAGCCAGACCCCCTATTTCAAGGTAAAAAATAAAAAAGGATAGAGATGTAGCTTAGTGATAGAACAGCCCTGGTTTGACTCTCCCTTATCCCCCAACCACCCACCCCCAAAAAAGATTTCAGCCAAGTGTGTAGGTGCATACTTGTAATTCCAGCAGTCAGGAGGCTGAGACAGGAGGATCACTATTGAGTTTGATGCCTGCCTGAGCTACACAGTGCGTCCAAGGACAGTCCGAACTACACCGTAAGACTCTGTCTCAAAAAAAAAAAAAAAAAAAAAATCATAAATAAGTACATAATACAAACATGCAAGGAGACATACCACCTGGGTGAGTATAAATAGCAACAAAGACTATAAATCTAGAAATTTGACCTAAAAGTTTATAAAACTTTTAGACAGCATAAAAGGATTTGGATTATAATGAAAACACTGTCCTTCATTGTTGTCTTTCCCAAAGAGCTATTGTATTCTGCATGTTCTGTTCACATTTGGTTGCAGGTCTCCTTTTATTTACAAACCCACCAGAGAACTTCCCTCAGGCTACACAGGGAACTGCTGTTCTAAACTTATTCACACAACCCAGATATATTATTTATCTTAGTATCAGTGGAGCCCTAATCCACATAATACTTTTTTTAAAAAAAAATCTGCAGTATCTTGGGTTCTTTCCACAACAGTATACGGAGATCTGATCTTTTTCAGTGGCTACACAACCCCTATGGGCTTTGCTCCATATTAACACTTGTACTTGTTGGCTATGCTCTGATGTCACTGGCTTATGTGCCTACGAGAGGCAGTTCTGAGTCAAAGGACATACTTAGAATGTTGTTTGCCCTCAAAAAAGGGTGGGCTTCTGCTGGGAGTGGTGGTGTACACCTGTAATTTAAACACTGGGGAGCCTGAAGCAGGATAATGAAACCTATCTAAAAGAGAAAGAGAAGAGGGTGATCCCCAGGTACTATCCCAGCAGCCAGCTATTCCTTAGCTCCTGCTGTACCCCAGAGGAATATGCATTCCTAATGGAAAGGGTCTAGGCAGGTGCATAAAGACTCCCAAAGGAAGAGTGCATGCAGAAAGACCTCACTGGGGAAATTCTGGAGCCTGAGCCCTAAGCTGTGAGAAGAATTTGGGAAGGTACCAGGAAGAGAAAGGCAGAAGGGAGAGATATCCTCTGCAGAGTAGATTGCTTTGTTACTTTTCAAGGACAGCAAAAAAATCTTTGGTGTCCAAAAGGGGCTCAGTACCACTCAGAACTGTTCACCAGAGCCTCCTCTGTGAACAAGTTCTCCTAAGTCTGGAGACCTTAGAAAGATGGTCCTGGGGGACTGGACAGCCTTTTATCACAGGTATGCTGTACTGTTACTATTAAAGACACCTAGAGGCCAGGGAGATGGCTCAGTAGAATAAGCACTTGCCTGGCAAGCGCAGGGCCTGAGTTCAATCCCTGGTTCCACGAAAAAAAAAAAAAGAAAAAAGACACCTAGATGTCCTGAGATCAGTTGTGAAGAGAGATGTGTTAGTGCTACAAGCAGGGCCTTGAGGTTCCTCTTAGTTATCTTGTGTCTATCTGGGCCACTCATCCATACACAAGTCAGTTATAGGTCAAACGTGAAAGAATGGAACTGTGGGGTGAGGGGAACAGAACAGGGTACTAAGTGACAGTGCCAAGAGAGCAGGGACTTAGGGTACAGGGCACAAGGATACTGCCAGTACAGAGTAGCTGCCCTCAGCTGCCTCCCAACCCTCTGTTCCCTGCTTGAGGGTGTTCACATCTGTTCCTGTAGTTCCATTCTGTTTGGAGGAGTCACAAGAATGGCAAAAAGGGCCTGGATGATGATAGGACAAGTAAGGGTCAGCTGTAAGTCTGTCAAAGTGACACTACCAGCTCCGCTCAGCCACGTCCTACCATTTCTTCTCTATGATCAGAAGCTGTCCCTAGGGGGAGCTTAAATGTGCAAAAAGCCAGCAGGGAAAGCTTTGGGCTTCTGTGGTGTCCACAGTGGTGGTTCCCCAAGCTGGGGGAGGACTTTGGTTGCTTCACACTATTGCACCTCCTCAGGGAGCCCCAGATCTTGGCTCAGAGGTAAGTGACTGGCCTGCCACGCAGAGGGGTTTGGTCTTCATCCTACCACCCACTCGTGAGAGTCACCGGCAGGAAGGTTCGGGTCCAGTGCGAGCGAGCAGTGGGTTGAAGGAGCTCCCTGCTGAGCAGTCATGTCATTCACTTGTGGCCTCTCAGCTAAGGTTCTTCACCTTCTGGATCTATTTCTGCTGGTGTCTGAGAGGAAAGCTACATTACAGAGAACATGATGAGTCTTCTCTAGTCTTTTGTTTGTTGTGGGTAACTGGAAACTGCACTTTAAAATGGTGTATTTTTGTCTCTCCTTTCCCTCCTGCTGTTCCTAGTGTGGTGAAAAAGGACACTACGCCAACAGATGCACCAAAGGGCACTTGGCCTTTCTCAGTGGACAGTGACAGCAGCTGGAACCAGCTCAGAGCAGCCAGTGGGCCACTGTTGGGAGTGCGCACTTAACTGCTGAATAGTGTTGGTTTGACTCCGACCAGAGCCAGCAGGCATACTCGCTGGGGCACACTGTTCTGAGGGGCTACATCTGTTAGTTTCCTATTATTCTGCCTTTTTTTTAAATTTTTTTTTTAACAAAGGGACCTGTGCTTCAGTTGGGTCTCCCCAGTTGACATCATGTTTGCTTAGGCATCAGTGCCTCTTAGACTTCCTGCACACCCACCCAAAGGGAGGGAGGAGCTGGGGAGGATGCTTGTGCTCTGAGACGCTGTGTGTGGAAGATGGCCTTTCCCCTCAGGACCTCACACAATACCAGTTTTGGTGCCCTAGGACTAATGGATCATTCAGAGCTGTGGCCAGGTCATGCCTGCTTTCTCCATGTCCTGCTGAATCCTGAAGCTGTGCCTATCAAAGTAATTTGAACCAAGGGAGCCTTTCCTGCAAACCTGGTACACTCACTGCCTCAGTCTGGCCCTGGGCCCAGGCGGCAGCAGCTGAGAGGGGTGCAGGCCCTCCAGTTTGAGGTTCTCTTCTCCTGGGCATATTTTCTCGTGGGGTGCCTGTGACAGTATATAAGGTATACCTTCAGTCAGAGCTGCAGACCACCCTTTCAACAGCTGCCCCAGTCCATCTGCGCCTACCTCCTGCTGATCAAGCATCTACACTGTCACTCAGACCGTGGCATACGGAGAAGACTGCCCTGTCCTTGAGCCTGGAAAATGTGAAACCATCACCTGCACCCTGCTGGGCAAGTGGGCCTATCCAAGTTCAATTATAAGAACAATTTTTACGGAGTTGATTAAAGCTTGTTTTTTAAGCTGTGTCTCATTACTTGAAGACATTCCTTAAAGATATACCAGGGTATACTAGCTGCCTGGTAGGAAACCGTAATGTTCACCCCTTTTGTCTGAGATCAAAGGTAAAAGTGATACTGGTGAGACAGGGCTTTGTACTGACAGTTGGAGCTTTCCCTGTCAGATGTTTGGTAACACCTGTTTGGCCAAATTTAGCTCTTCTAGGAGATCTTGGGAACAGCGCTGCCCCACTGCCTTGCCCCTCCCTTGGTCTCCATGTGCTTTACGTGCTGTTTACCCTCAGCATGGAGCTAGTGCTGGCCTTCGTACCACCTGATTCCCCTGAAAAGCTCTAATGGGTCGGGGGAGGGAGTGATGAATACTGGAGTTTCGTGAGCTTTTATCAGCCTTACACCTTTCCCTCACCCCTACTACTGAGCTTCAGTTAGTCCTTGGTGACTTGCAGTTGCAGTTCATGCCCCAAGCTCATGCAGAAAAATGGAGTAAGACAGGTCACTGGGCTGGTGAGCAAGCTCAGTGGTCTAAAGCACCTGTTTAGGCAAGTGCTTAGGGACCACGGTTCAATCCGTGGTACCACATGCTGCACCAGTCCCGCTCCCAAAAAAAATTGTAGAAAGACTAAAGTTATCAAAAATCCCCTACCTACAGCTGAAGGATTGTCAGTGGTGAGGTCTAGCATTCAGGACCTTGGCTTCTGCTGTATAAAGTAAGCTATCAAAAGGCCGTGGTCAAGCCGGGAGATGGCTCAGTAGAATAAGTGCTTGCCTTGCAAGTTCAAGGGCCTGAGTTCAATCCCCAGTTCTGCCAAAAAAAAAAAAAAAAAGGCCATGGTGCCTCAAAAGGACCACAAAGCTCACGGCAGAAGGCAGGGCTCTGGACAATGACAGAAACTCCAGAGACTGCTACCTCTGAACTAGGATGTGACCCCAAAGGATCAAGTGGTGTGCAGAGCCCAACCTGGCTTCAGGAGGCAAACTATGGGCTGACGGTCGTACGCCTCTTGGTGCAGAAGGGGCCAGGACAGGCTACAACACGCAAGCAGCACTTGTAGCGGTCACCTTTTATTGAGCATTAATTCTCATTTAGGCTATGAACAAATTGAGCCATGATTAAGCTGTTCACAGACGGGAGCTGGACAAGGCAGTCACAGGCTACAGTGCAGAGTGCCCTCCACACTGGCCCCTTTTCAGTGGTACTTGCGTCGCCGCTCATGTTCTGAAGTCAAAAAAAAAATAGTATTTTTAAGTATTCTAGTGAATGCACAAGACAATAGCAACAGCAGCAGGCTACAATCGTGAATTCTTTTAGGATGATCTAGACACCTGCTTGTGTCAGAATCAGCAAACCTGGGGGCACAAAGGCACCTCAGAAGCCAACCTGCAACCTGGCCAGTCTCTTCCAAGATCCCCACTTAAAAAGCCTCCGACAGCCCATACTGTGGCCAGCATTCAACAGGCTGGCAGGCACTGACCAGAAAGGGCTCACAAAACTCAGCCAGAGGCCCTAGTGACACTATTGCAGCAATTCCCACCAGACATTATCTGAGACCATCCCAGGTCTTAGAGCCAGGAACAACTTCTCTCCCAGCGCACTGGAGAGACACTGGATTATAACCATGAAAGCTGTATCTCTTCATACTGCCTGCTAGGGAAATCAAGCCAGATTTTAGTTAAGAGCCTGCAGTATGACCTTTTCCCTAATTTCATCTTGTTTTTCCTGTGTTCTGTATCACAAAATTCTCACTTAAAATACTACCACATGTTTCATTCCTACAATTTGTTTTTTTCTGGTGGAAGTATGGGTAGGGGCATCTTAAATGTCCCTCAGCTGACAAACAATGGACTACCACATCTAACACAGGGAACAAACCCCACAATCTCAGGGAGACCTAGAAGCGAGATAATGCAAGAGCCACTCACTGAGTTCCTTGTAAGAAAGGCAGTAGTTGAAAAGGACATAGGCTGCCAGCACCATATTCACCCCCGCGATGCTCCCTTTCTTCACGTTGATGTACTTGTTGTAATACCGGTAGTAACCTGTAACAGAGGAGGTGCTCACTGCCCTGCTTCACCACAGACACCTTCCTGCAGTGCACAAAGTAGTCTGGTATTCTATTAGTCTTGCTAGAGCTCTTCAACCCACTCACTCTACATTCATTGGCTGATAAAGGTAAAGAGTCCTGTAGGATCCAATCCCCACAGCCCAAGACTAGCTCCAGAGTTACGCCCTAGCTTCTGCTGTTGGCCTTGATCTTACAGATTGGCTCAACATGTTATAAACTTACGTTATACCCCCACCTTCAGCCCTGGGACACCCTTACCTAAAATCTGACTAATTCTGTCCCAGATACCAACCCCTAATAAGGACCACTTGACTGTAGCCACCAGGTCAGCCAGGCCCTTGGGAAGAAAAATTTCCTGCTGTTCATCTCTTCTGCAGAAGGGAAACATGTTCTACAGCTGATGTAAATGAATGAAATGATTATGTAGGTTTAAAATAAGGATCCCTAGTTGGGCATGGTAGTGCATACTTGTACTTTCAGCATAAAAGAAGCTGAGGCAGGAGGATCACTGCAAGTTTGAAGCCAGCCTGGCCTACGCAGTATTCTAGTTCAAGGCCAGCCTAAAAAATAGATGCCCTGTCTCAAAACCAAATAAATAAAATACGGATGCCCTGTAGAAGGGAAGGGCTATGAACGTGAACGGGCCAAATTTCAGTTCAGAGTTTTAACTAGATGGGGCATTCTGAGCACCTTGCTTGGAAAAATCTTAGGACAGGGCAACACACACACAAAAGCCACATGGGTATCACAACTAGAAAAGAGGCAGGCCCCTGAGGTAGTCAGAGATCATGCAGGGCTGACCATGGGATAACCTGGGACTTTTTTTCCTGGAAGGTGATAATATACATGGACTGATGTAACTAGTCCTGTACTTTTTAGATGCACACATCTATGCATTTCCAATTTGGCTTGGAAATCCTGACTCAGACTGATGGATACTATGACTCAAATTCTTCCCTCTCCGTTTCCTTTTGAGATAGTCTCACGATACTACTCAGACTGGCCTCTCACAGGCTCAGGTAATCCTCTTGCCTCTGCCTCCTATGTAGCTGAGACTAGAGGGGTGCACTATTACATCTCCCTTTTTTTTTTTTTTGGAAGGTGGGGTGAGGGAGGTGCCAGGGATTAGATCCAGAGCCTTGTGCAGGCTAGGCAAAGCATTCTTCCACTAAGCTACATCCCCAGCCCACTTGCTTACTTTTTAAATGAGCTTTTAGATGTGGAAATGCTGACAGACCTTTCTCTGGAATACAAAAAGACGGGCCAGGGTTACAGCTCAGTGGCACAAGTGCCTGGCTGGCAAGCACAAGGTCCTGTACCAAATTAATAATAATTTCCAGTACCAAAATAATAAGGATAGTAAGAATAATAATAAATAATAATAGAAACAGAGGTACTGATTCTGAGCACCATAACATTTTCTTGGCTGAAATACCTTAGTGCTAGTTTTTGACAGGTCCAATCAAATACGAAAATTCAGTGGCTGACAAACCTTTGCCCTTCTTTACAGACCTTAATAGCTTTGAGACAAGGTCTTTATTACCCAGATTAATTAATGGTCAAGAGACCTGAAGACTCAGAAATTTGCTTTTGTTGGCCAGAAATAGCTCAGTGGCTTAAAGAGCCTGCTTAGGCAGACACAGGGCCAAGGGGTCCAATCCCTGCCCTGCTGTGCTGGCACCCGCCCATCCCTGGGGCAGGCTGAGGCGGTGATTGAGACTGGTTGTGGCGCACCCCTGTAATCCCAGCTCTTGGGAGGCTGAACACAAGTGGATCACTATGAATCTGATCTATGTAATGAGACCCTGTAGACCCTGTCTTAAAATACAATACAATACAATACAATAAAGAAATTTGCTTTTGTTTTACACATATCCATAAAGTACTGACCTCTCTGAAATGCTCCAGCAATGCCCGTGGGGGAGAAATCCCGCATCAGTATCCAGCTGGGCAGCTCCCCTACTTTCACATCCAAGAGTCTCTTCTCTTTCAATGGTACTGAAAGGAAAAAGAAAAAAGAAAAAAAAAAAAAAAAAAAGGACCTACTAAACAGTTTCCCAATAATACAAATAGCACCTTTTATGTCATTATTTCAACCACTGAAA